AGCAGAGGGCTAATCTGGTTTCCCACTAGAGTGCTCCTTCCCCTATCCGCCCAGGGGTGTAGGTGTACTCACTCAGATCCTCTCCTGTACAACTTTTAGAATGGCTGCTGCTTCCAGGCCTATCAGCTGGGCTGCTCCTTCCCTGCCACACTGGTGATCCTCTTTCAGGGGCAGTGAGTCCTGAGGTTTCCTCCTTTCCATCTCCAGGCTTGCAGGCAGGCCCCATCCCAGCAGTCCTCCTGACAGCCTTCTTCCTTCAACCTCACATCTTCCTGACTCACACTCCTTTCCCACTACCACACTCCAACTCCTGCTACTGAGCAGACTCTTAACAACTTTTAAGGGAGTCCAGCCCCTTGCCAAGCCTCCTGTTGGGGATTGACTGAGGTCCCTCAAAGGTGCAGCCAACCTCTCCTCAGATCTACCCACTGCCCCCAAGGCCCTCCTTGAAAGCCTTAGAGCAGGGGGAAATTCCAGAGGGGCTGGCCTGTAGAGTCTCTCAGCCCTGTCCCAAATTTGACCCCCCTGGCTATTGCACTTGAGCTGCTATTCAGCTCCTGTTTAACCATTAGGATCTAGCTCCACCTAGTGTAGGTAGGAGGGTGCTACAGGAAGAATGGGCCAAAAACACACCTGAGCAATGCCTGCAACTAGTTTCTTCATACATGAGGTGTCTTGAAGCTGTCATTACCAACAGAGGATTTTGTACCAAGTATTAAATAGATTTCAGTTAGTGTGCTCAATACTTTCTTCCTGTGCCATTCCATTTTATTACACATAACTGAGTTTCTGAACTTATTTTTGGTTTCTTTGTATGTATGGATTGCATGGGTTCATACCAACATGTGGTGAAAATTTTATGTCAATGGTGCCTTTCGAAATATATTTACTGAGAAAAATTGTGACGTGTTCAATACTTATTTTACCCGCTGTATCAGTTTTTAAAAGGTCCCCAAAATGTACCTAGTGTGGCACTTGGTAGGAGTTGTCAGGTTACTAACCCTCAGCAACCTTGGTCCAGTTAATGGAATTTAAGGGAAAGAACATCATTGCCTCTTTTCAGTGGACATTTGTCTGCAGCAATTATTGATTTTGTACTGCATTATTCCAAACAAAAGTTTAAAGGCTAAGTTCACCTTTTGTTTTATGTTATACTATACCCTAAATACGAGTATAACGTAATATGGTGCAAATGTCTCGTCTTGCTCTGCCCACACAACTGCATCACTCATTTGCAGGGATCTGTGAATGAATAAATCACAAGTCCCATCTACCACTGTGGCAGACAGACCTGTATTTCTCAGTGGTGAGGTAATCAGTCCATTGAATCTTCATTTAGCTCTTCATCTGATGGCCTTTACAGAAGTATGGGCAGAGAGCAAGAAGAAGAGTTTGCAGGAGCCTGACATTGTATCCAATCTGATTATGGGTACAATGCTTTGTAGGTTCCTGTAAAATAATTAATAAATGCACTTTTTTTCTTGCACATATATGTGCATTTATTATTCTTTAGTAAAGGTGAATATAGCCTTTAAGGCTGGTTTTACTGGTGTTTGGTGTGCTTTGCAGCTGGCATGGTAATGCATATGTGTAGGTGTAAATAGACCCATATAGTTTTTGTCTCACACTAAACTGCAGCTCATATACAGTACATGAACCAGCCACATAGGTAAGAATGGGATTTCTACTTGTAATGCGTTTTATTGCACCAAAATGCACAAGATTTACTGCACGAAAAGGGACAAGTCTGAATAGGCCCTAAAAGTACACTTGCACTGGGAAAACCACAAAAGCTGTTATTGCTTGCCACTGGCTTTATTATTTCAAGGCTAGGCTTGGAAATTCTCCAGGTTGGCTTGCTCTGGCTCTAGAATGACTCCAGCTTAAGACAATTCTTCCAGCTCCAGACTTGCTCCAGGATCAGCTTCAAAATGAGAATGAGCTCTGCTCATCTACAATGCTAACAAAAATGTGCATTATTTTTTCTTACTTTTAGAAAAAAAAAAATCCAAATGTGCACTTCTATTTTGGCAGCACTATGGGCATCACCACTAACCACAAGTAAAAGGCTGTCCTTGCACCTTATGGCATCCGCTGTTCTGTAGAGATTTATTTTTGACATTTGTGAAATAAGGTTGTTTAATTTGTGTAAGACAAACTGCCCCTGAATAGTTTTCTGAGCAGATCTCATCTCACTACCAGTACCTATTACTACAGAACATGTAAGGGGGAAGCACAATGGAACAGGAGTACAACACATTGGGCTGGTGATTTTTAAATGACAAAAACTGGGTTCCTTCAGTATTAACTGCAATAATGGCTTTATAATTCAATAGATAGTCTAGAAGTGTAAATCTACCTTTCGTATCCTGCATCTATAAGATATTACTCTCCTCCATTCAGGACCGAATCTAAAAATCTAGGGCCCAATGGGTGGAGGATGTGGGGGGGAAATAGGGGGAAATCGTTGGAATATGGCTTTGGAATCAGTAACTATATCCTCCCTGTCGGCCTCACATAAACTGACACAACTATTTATCCTTAACAGGGCATACCGAACACTGGTTAGATAGTTTGAGTGGAGAAGGAGAGATACACCATTATGCCCAAAGTGTATGGCACATACAGTAGAGGGGATTTATTCACATGATTTGGAGATGTCCAAAATTAGCAAGATATTGGGGGGATGTTCTGGGGATTTTGTATTCCCTCGCCCAAACTCTCATCCCGTCGGATCTACTGGGACGCTGGACCCTGAGATGTACGCCCTGGGTGTCTATATTATGATTACTCGTCTATTGTATTGTATTTAGCGAGAAAAATAATAGCTAGATTCTGGCTGTCTAGTACAATACCTTCTAAGAAATACTGGGCGGAATATGGAAATTCTTTCCTTTTACGGGAACAAATTACCTATCGTCACCGTAATGCACCATGTAAATTTGAGCTTATCTGGCAGAGCTGGACAGATACCCCCGGACTGGTCCCTCCAAGATTGATAATGAACAGACTTTTACAAATATGATACATTACGGCTAGTTGATTGTTGGGACCTGGTGACCCACCTGCAACTGTTCTTGTTGAGTGTTCTGTTCTTTTCTTCCTTTTCTTTTTCTGACTTTTATTTCTTTTACTTAATTTCTCCATACTCTGTAAAATCTTGATTGACCCGATACTCAATATCCACAACAAAGGGCTCTTAAAGATGTAATCCTACTGTGTTTGATGTATACATGCAATGTACATTTCTATTTGTACCCATCCGTAAGATTGTCTCATGCCCTGTTATCTACTCATGTACTCCCTTTCAATTTTCAATAGTTTAGATTACAAAAAAAATATCTACCTTTCCTGGCCTTGGAGGCCCTCCCTCTGCACAATCTGTGTCCTTTCAGGCAATATACTTGCTGTGCAGCCCACTTGTCCCAGTTTCCACTAACTGCAACAATCTCATTTCATTCCAATGGAACATTTGTACTCCGTGGAGCTCCTTTGATGTCATCATAGTAACCTCTGTTAGCATTGACTTTTATTAAATTAAATAGAGTGGCTTTACAATGGGTAGTTGCCTGATAAATGTCCTTCTATCTAGGAGAAGTCTCTGACAGAGGTTCTAACTCTTCCCCACTTCATCCAAGTACTAAACAGATACCTGCTTGGGAATAAATGTGACTTGTGTGACTTCTGCTGTTATTTATATAACTGATAGGGCTTATTCTTTATTTAAAAAAAAAAAAAAAAAAAAAAAAAAAGAACTGACACATTGAAACATTGTTACATCAAAGCTGATTTGATGTTTCAGATATTTTTGAGAAAAACATGCTGATTTTAATAGGGAGTTTATGTAAAAGATAGTAATCAATGGAGAATGACTTGTAAAATTATATAACTCATTTGTCAGTGCAAATTTAACCTGGTATGGGAAACATTATGTACAAATATGTTTGTACCTTTCCTTGTAAAACACTTAAGATGAAAATGTTTTCGGTGATCCAGTGAGTGATTATGACACCATAAGTATCTGCATTTTTCCATAAGAACCAAAGGTCAGGAATTTTTATAATTGATGAACAGAAGAATTTAAATTTTTTTTAGTAAATCTAGTTTGAATTGTAGGCAAGAGAACACAATATTACATGGGTACTTGACTTGGCATGCCCATTTCATGAGGAAGTAATTTTGAAGCATTATGAACAGATCCAAAAGATAGTTTTGATAAGAAATCAGCAATTGGAATGCGCTAAGATATATCAAAATTAATATCACAAATATGTGTATAAAAAGTCCCAACATTATAAATACAAAAAACTTTTCAGTGAAAATAATCCATAAATTTCGTGCATATAAGTGTATAGAAGAAATGTCCAACACCCCAAAACAGAAAATTTTCTTCTTTAAACATGTAATTCCACCGTGCTTTATCCACCACCAAATGAATGGAATAAACTCACCAGAGCTCAATGCTGATTAGATTATAAATCAGCACAAGCGCGTTTGCTCTGGGAGCGATGAATAAGTAGATCATGAAGCAGCACTCTATAGTATAGACACTTCCAGATAGCAGGAACAATACTCTGCAGTGATTTTGAGGTATAGCCAAGACTCCTTATAAAACGATCATCCTCCAAATGTATAGTAACATCACTCAAAAATAAAGAAAAGGCATGATGGTGCAGCAAGTAAGAACCATTAAAACTTTTATTTCAATCGCATCCTACTCACAAAATAAAGTGTCCACTTGACACTGGTATAGCAAACGATCAGATATACGGAATGGACGAGCCCCGTTCACCGCGGACACCTCGCCGACAGCTCCAGGGAACGTCCTGACGTCATCCAATAAGCTCCGCCCACCCTACTGTACTTAGCATTTTGCATTTATAAATAAGTTGTAATATATTGAATTGCCTCTAACACATAAATTAACCATGTAAAGTGTATATGTAAAGTTTCAAATGACTCTTGCTTATCATCTTGGTGTACTCTCTTTTTTTCCACAGAGGCGAAGGCTGCAAAGGAAGCGGGAATGAATGTGGCTGTGGTAGTGAGACCTGGTAATGCAGCACTAACAGATGAAGAGAAAGCTAGCTACCCCCTTGTAAACTCTTTTGAGCAGATAACCTTGCATCCTGTACAATAACTTTTTTCTTTTTTTCATAAAACAAATTGAATAAAGCATGAACCATAACAATGTCTCACGTTTTCTTTATGTCAACAATATAATGCTAACACCAAATCTATTAAAATCAAGAATAAAATTGTGCTTAAAGTGGTGTTAAACCCAAAAACAAAAATGTTTCATATTGCAGCTTACCAATCATTAGTTATGTTTGTATCAGATTTTCTTTTCTTTTGGTTTTTCTCCTCTATTTTTACCTGGTGAACTGGCCAATAAACTATGGATGAAGGAGCATAGGAAGCAAAGCAGACATTGTCATCTGGGGAGGGGGGGGCATAGTGTTAAATGTATTAGCAGATTTAGATGCACTAACAAATTGAAGACAAACTCCAGCAGAGTCTTAACACAGTGGAGTGAATCTGGAGTGTTACCCAATATTGGGGAAGTCACATCTAACCTGATTTTTTGCAGGTCACATTTTTCTGGCTAGCACAGTTTTGAATGGTGGTGGGAATCACTGAATATGGTTACAAACACAGATGGTTAAAGAGATTCGGGAAACCAATAGATGAAGATTGTCACATTATGTGAATTGGAACTTTTTAACTTATTTATTTAATCATTATACACCTTTTTTTGGATGTGCATTTATTGACGCACATGAGCTATTATTCATGATTTGATATGAATTGAGTATTTATATAAGCTGATTTATTTCACATTTATCATTTATTGATATTATGTTGCGCATTGAGGTTTCATTATGTTTTTAGGGTACGCTCAGCCAAGGTTTTATACACTGCTCAAAAAAATTAAAGGAACACTTTGAAAACACATCAGATCTCAATGAGGAAAAATATCATGCTGGATATCTATACTGATATGGACTGGGTAATGTGTTAGGAACGTAAGGATGCACCATTCTTTGATGGAAGTTAAAATTGTCAACCTACAGAGGACTGACTTCAAAGACACCCCAAAAATCAAAGTGAAAAAATTATGCAGCAGGCTAATCCATTTTGCTGAAATTTCATTGCAGCAACTCAAAATGGTACTCAGTATTTTGTATGGCCCCCACGTGCTTGTTTGCATGCCTGACAACGTCGGGGCATGCTCCTAATGAGACAATGGATTTGTTCTGGGGTATTTTCTTCCAGATCTGGACCAGAGCATCACTGAGCTCCTGGACAGTCTGAGGTGCCAGCTGGCGGTGTCGGATGGACCGAAAACATGATATCCCAGAGGTGTTCTATTGGATTTAGGTAAGCGAGTGTGGGGGCCATTCAATGGTATCAATTCCTTCATCCTCCAGGAACTGCCTGCATACTCTCACCACATGAGGCCGGGCATTGTTGTGCACCAGGAGAAACCCAGGACCCACTGCACCAGGGTAGGGTCTGACAATGGGTGTGGGATTGGCCATTGTTTTGTCACGAGTTTGTGAAAAGGACAGTGGTCTAACACCCGTGTTAGTCACACCCATGTCAATGTTTAATCCTAGTCAGGAAATGTTAACAAAAAAACAGATGTATTTACTGAAGAAAGAGTCTGCTATGATAGCTAGGATTTTTACATTTCAGACATTTGTTCACATTAAATGTATGAGACCATTAACCAATCATGTGTTAGAATAGAACTAAAGGCAAAACAATTTTATTTTGAATAGAGTAAGGAAGGTTACTGTCTGTTTTTTGTTTTTTTGCCATCTGTGTCCCATCGGGATTGGGGACATTCCCTTTGCTGTCTGACCCTTAGCCAAAACGAGAAGTAAGTATCCCTCAAAAGTGAGGGAATCCCTGGTTGTCCCCATCGGAAGATTGCCCCTTTACTACTGTTTTGGGGACAACCCAAAATGTAGGATTATCTTTGACTTTCATTTTAGGCAACAATACTAGACAGGACAAATAGAGAAGGCTGGCCATACAGTATACAATTTTCTTACAATTTTTTGTCCAATTTCTGCCCAATTTCCTTTAGATTTACCTTCAACTATGTAGTGCAAGGGCCTGCCTAATTGGATACAACTGAAAGTGTTGTTTAGGTTTGACCTCATATTACATGGTTTTTGGTAAATCTAAAGAAAAAACTTGACAGGTGTTCTAATCTCTCAACTTTATCCACAAAAAAAGTTTTATCCTTTAGTTATACTTTAAAGTGGTTGTAAACCCATACATACTGTATACCCAATTCGTGATTGAGGTGATACACAGAGATGAAACAAATTCTCCTACATAAGTTGTACCTGTTAATCTGCAGTATTCTTTTCTCTACAGCCCTTTAGCCCTGGTTCACACTGATGCGGTGTGGAATTCGCAGATTTTTCAGTGCAAATTCCTCACCGCATCAGAATCGCACCCCAATCATGCGAACCACTGCGGGTGTGTATGTTAAGTTAACAACACCCCGAAAGCGGTCCACAAAACGCGGTGCGATGTGCAGAATCGGATCGCATAGGTGTGAATACCCATGCGATCCGATTCTAGTGCGGACCAAAAAAAGGGTCCTGTGCCTTTTTGGTGTAGATGCGGTGCGATTAGAGCCATACAAAATGTATGGCTGCAATCGTACCGCACACAAATCGCATGTGATTTGCACAGGACTGCTGTGCCATTCATGCGATTTACTGCACCGCATATATGTGAACCCAGGCTTAAAGTCCAGATTTTATAAAGCTTGTCTGAGATTTCAGAAAGCGGGGTGGTGAGCTGAATTTACACCCTGCAGAGCTTGGTGAGAGTTGATTGGACGGAAGACACACACCCCCTTCACAGAGTACACAGGAACAGAGCTGAAGCTGGCAATCATAGGCTGTGTGCTGGAGCTCCCTCCTCTGTCATCGTTTTACCTTTTGATGTCAGGAAAGTTTGTCAGAAGCATCTCATGCTGATAGCAGAGGAGCAAAGCAACAGAGAGAAATGACACTTGGTGCTCTGCGCTGAGACAAGTACACACTATGGAGTGGTATGTTTTTTTCATATTTCATGTCTGAGGTTTACAACCACTTTAATGCCCCCAGAAAAACATTGACCTTTCTTTAGTTTGCCTTCTGCTCCACTCAGCCACTAGGAATCACCAAGAGCCATTAGGAAAAATGGCCTATACTTCCAGAGATGTCAACCAGGAAGAAGAATTTATGGGGTGATAAGACAGTGACATGCACTAGGCAAAAAACAGCTGTGGCTTAATTGTGTTAGGGGTGTGGCTTAAAAAGTGGTACTGTGTTACTTTTTACACACAGATAACAAAAACCAGAGAATTGGGGCTCATTAATAACTAAATATAGGTGGTGCCAGAACAATAATAATAATGTTAGTACTGTCAGTTACTATATCAATATCAATGATACCAGCTGCAAAATCTGCCCTATATAAAGGTGCATAAAAATACAAAAAAACACAGACTGCGCTAGTAAAAAATGTAAAAATAAAGAAATAAAAGTGTCCGTAACAAGAATATATCTAAATCATATTAATCCCAAAACTTATCATAACAAAAATTAAATCAATCATATGAAGTCCCAAAAAAATATATTTAGTAGTGAAAAATGAAGAAAGTCCAACGAAATCCACCAAGTGTATCCACCACCAAATAAACTAAATAAACTCACCAGAGCAATATGCTGATTATGTTACAAACCAGCATAAGTGCTTTTCTGCTCTGGAAGCAATGATCTGTAGACAGTTGAAAGAAAGCTTTGGCTTGGCAAAAACGATCTCCTCTAACCCTGGAGCAATACTCTGCAGGAGACTCTGACTCTGTAGATCCACTTCATGCATATCCCATCCTATTCAAAGGGTGTTGGAATGGCCACTCGGAATATACAAAAACAGAAGCTCATGGTGCAGTACCTCTTAAAATCGTTGCTTTATTAAAACTAAACATACTTACAAAAAACGGTGTCCAGCTGACACCAGCACAGCCAGCATAATCAGATTGCTTGAGAGTATAAAAAATACATAATCAGATTGCCAATAGAGAAACCCAGCCACATCGCACATGCGCTGTAACGATCACTAGGAACGCGCTGACATCACACCACTCAAACCCCGCCCTACGCGTTTCGTCATTTGATGTCCTCACGGAGCGGGGCTCATTCCCAGCTCATCATTAGTGCACGCATAGCGCAGACACATTGGCATGAGATCTTACACTGTGTTGTTTTGCATTGCCTTTTTTATACTGTATTGCAGTGCTTTTTTTTTCGGATTTGTTTTTTTTTACCTATATCTGTAGTGCCTAACAATGCTCTTTGTTACATAAAAAAGGCAACTGTTTTCCAGTGCTGTGTTGGTGTGAAATGGCTCAATAGAATAGAAGATCAATCTTTGGCTTTGTCTATGCGTGTGGACTGCATCGACCAATGCTTGTAGTGCGTATGAGCCCTTCTGCCCAGCATGTGTAACTAAAGATCATGGTACTGCGTATGTGTAATGGCTATACATAATTTGTGTCGACATTTTAGAAACCATTACTAAAACAGAAAAAAATGACTGTATTTTAGGAACACCTCAGAACTGTGGTGGACAATATGGCACACCTTGGACTGAAGACAGGGAAAGGGGGCAGGTCGCTGTCTGGTGAATGAGGGGAATCAAAAGAGATTTGTACATCATGCAGGATGAGAGGGGTAAAAAAAGGGGCACTCCATGGATTGTAGTATGAGTTGATATGGCTGTACTTCTAGCTAAGGTGGAGCATGTGACTTGGATGTCACAGCACTGGTGATGGGTCCAGTATTGTCACATGGGGACAGGGAGAGGTAATAGCTGTTGTATTGTCATGGCAGTGAAGGAATTGCAGTGGTGACAAAATGACTGGCCCCATTTATTGGGTACCAGGGTGGTTTGCCCAGCTGTAAAGGAGCCAAAACTGCAGAATCGTTGCCATGGCATGGAGGGATCAGCCATGTTACAATGGTAACAAGGGACATGTTGATTGGCTTCTTTGCCATGGTGATATAGTAGTTCCTCCATTACTATGACAACAAAGAGATTAGACACATTACCATGGTGAGGGAGGGA